GTAAGAAAACTGACCTACCATTAAATTTTTCCAAGAAGGCTAACCAAGTACATAAATCTGCTTTTACTTCTTTGTTTAGTCTAATGCGATAATATGCTTTTGTAATGCCAATAGTAGTGTTGATAAGTCGCCTTAAGAATGCTCTACCTGGCAAGACCACATTACACGCAAAATTAAGAAGACCAATCACCGACTGCATGTCCTTCAAAGTAATCTTTCTGCTTGGTAAAAGCTGTTCAATTGTATCTCTACATTTTTTAACTTTATCAATAGGTAACCTTGCCTCCATCATCTCGGTGTCTAATTCATATCCCAGAAAAGTCATTACCTTGTTAGGACCAAATGTCTTATCCTTAGCCATAGGTACACCTATGTCGGCGCAAACTGTTAAAAATGCCACCAGTTTTTTGTGGCACTCTGTCGCAGATTTGTCAACAATTAGAAAATCATCTAATACATGAGTCATAAATTGAATTCCTAATTTTTCTTGTGCAATCCACTGAAGTGCTGTACTAAACCTTTCAAATATACGACAGGAAGAACTGCAACCCATCTGAAGACATGTGTCAAAATACCAATGACCTTGCCAAGTGAAACCAAAGTATTCAAACTGTGATGCATGTAAGTTGATAATTCGAAATGCATTAGCAATATCTGTTTAGCAACAATATGATCCTTTCCCACACTGCTTAATGTTTTGAATAGCATCCACTACAGAAGAGTATTGAACAAATGACTCTTCCTCGGGTATGCCATCATTGACAGACTTACCTTCCGGATATGACAAATGATGGATCATACGATACTCACCCTCTGTTTTCTTACTAACTAGACCTAAAGGGGAACAATTTAAAATTGGCAGTGCTTTCTCTTTGAAAGGACCCATAATTCTACCCAAATTTATCTCCTTTTCTAACTTTTTGCTAATAACTTCTGGTAAGTCCAGTGCCGATTTTAAATTTTTTGAAAGAGTATTTCTACTTTCCCCTGTGTAACCAATGTGGAAACCATATCGAAAACCATTCACTAAAAATTCTGTTTCTACCTTATCATACCCCACCAACCAGTACTCTAATCTACTGGGATTTACTGGAGTTGGACCCTTTTGTGGGATAGGTTGGCTTTGAGAATTTAGAATTACCTGTGTTGGTTGATGTGCCATTTCCTTGAAATGGTTTTTGGGTTCTGGATTTGTCCAAGAAACGAAATGGCCGTTGAATTGGTTTTTTTACATATATAGATTAGATGGAAGCCACCACAGTTATAACATCTGTGCTGGAATTTGCATGATGAACCAAGCCTACAATACCTTCCAGCTTTGTGATAGGCAAAGCATGACCCCTGATGGATTTCCTCATACGTACCAAATGACGAACGGTCTGGTGTTATTTTGCTTGACTTCTTTTCTGATTGTTGGAGGCGAGCATTAACATATATCTCTATATGGACATCACCCCATTCTACCTCACCTTGTTCTATGAGTTCCCTGAACTCCTTATCATATTTTCTCCAATCCCCCTTTTCCTCTGCAATTTGCCTTACTGATTCCATGTGTTTTGCAAGCTTTGGCTGTGCAAGTGTATCCTTAATGCAATATATTGTCACATACCTATTCCACGCAGTTACCCAGTCATGTAGGGATAACGAACCATCCCTAACTTCGTCGTCATCTGTGGATCGCATATTGTGGATTACCACTTTACCTGTCTGATCCTGTTCCTCTACCTTGATAGAATACTTACTTTTCCCCTTTTCCTTTTTTAACAACAGAGCCATATCAACATATTGTTTTGACCAAATTTTAGATTTTATTTTGTCAGAAACAGTTGCCTCTATCGGTACTGATGAGCTTACAAAACCTGATTTCTTACCGACATTTGCTGCAAGTGGAAGTTCAGTACCTACAATCTGTGAAATGTGTTCGATTACCGCGCCTGATACCAATCCTGAGATACTTGCATCCACTGACTTATTTGTTATTTGACAAACTGACCCAGAAGGACCTGCTGTTAAGCTATTGCTTAAATTTATATATAAGTCATCAATCTTGATTGCATTGTGTCACAATAAGTCAATAAAACCATATCTAAGTCATAATTCTTGATTGCATTGTGTCACAATAAGTCAATAAAACCATATCTAAGTCATCAATCTTGATTGCATTGTGTCACAATAAGTCAATAAAACTATATCTAAGTCACCAATCTTGATTGCATTGTGTCACAATAAGTCAATAAAACCATATCTAAGTCATCAATCTTGATTGCATTGTGTCACAATAAGTCAATAAAACCATATCTAAGTCATCCATCTTGATTGCATTGTGTTACAATAAGTCAATAAAACCATATCTAAGTCATCAATCTTGATTGCATTGTGTCACAATAAGTCAATAAAACCATATCTAAGTCATCCATCTTGATTGCATTGTGTCACAATAAGTCAATAAAACCATATCTAAGTCATCAATCTTGATTGCATTGTGTCACAATAAGTCAATAAAACCATATCTAAGTCATCCATCTTGATAACATTGTGTCGCAATAAGTCAATAAAACCATATCTAAGTCATCCATCTTGATAACATTGTGTCGCAATAAGTCAATAAAACCATATCTAAGTTATCAATCTTGATTGTATTGTGTCACAATAAGTCAATAAAACCATATCTAAGTCATCAATCGTGATTGCATTGTGTCGCAATAAGTCAATAAAACCATATCTAAGTCATCAATCTTGATTACATTGTGTCACAATAAGTCAATAAAACCATATCTAAGTTATCAATCTTGATTACATTGTGTCACAATAAGTCAATAAAACCATATCTAAGTCATCAATCTTGATTACATTGTGTCACAATAAGTCAATAAAACCATATCTAAGTGATCAATCTTGTTTGCATTGTGTCACAATAAGTCAATAAAACCATATCTAAGTCATCAATCTTGATTGCATTGTGTCGCAATAAGTCAATATGTCTTATCCGGTTGAAGTATTACCTGAACCTGAAGAACTGAAGAGAGAAGATGATACACATGTGGCAATGGTAGAGTTTTAAAACTTCGTCAGACATATACTTTTTTGTAATCATGCCAACGTAATGGTAAGCAAGACGTACTCAGGCTATGAATAAAGACTTATAATACACCAGGCAATATTAACATTTATATCAGTAACAGAAGAACACAAAACAGCTTCTTTTCCTTAATACACGAGCTTGTTTTACTTATATCAATTGACTAGAACTAATAAACTTTAGATACCACATGACTAGAATTCAGTACAATAGAGCCATTACATTGAACGCGGGTAACAGTTTGTAAATATTTACGCTCTTAAAAAATTCCTTGCTAGGAGGGGGGCATTAAATATTTATAAGATGATTTATAATTAAGCATATTTTGGAAAGATATAAAAAAAATAAATGCGAACATTTTTATTTTTATACCTCCAGCATTAAAACTGTGCTTTTTTTTCTTTCTCCATCCTCTTATCAAGTTTGTCTACAATACTTTATAATTTAAAAGCCTTGAAACATGAATCTACTTCTAGCTACAGAAACCATACCGTTATGTTTTATATTTTAGTTATTGATGAAAACGCAACCGATCTCGTAAAGTAAGTATTGAGGAGTTAACGACGTTTTTTGCCAACTTTGGGGATATGTTTTTCTTCATTTCAGCATTAAACGATCAATTACCTTTCATTCCCAAATGTAAGATATATTCTTTTTTCAACCTGTATATTGTATCCGCCTCCAACCCCTTTATAGGCTTCACTTGTGACCCCCTCCCCCGAAAAAAAATTTTATCAATAAAAAAACGATTTAATAAGGTTTAATGGACGATTATAAAGGGTCAGAGGGTAGATATAACATACAGGTTGTTAAAGAGTATTTCTCAAATTAGGAAAGGACAGGTGGTTTACAAAATAATGCAGGAAAGTAGAAAAAAAATTTATCCTGCAACTACCCCTTGCACTGACCTAATAAAGCTAACCTAATAAACCAAAGCTTTATCCGGTCACTGCCCTAATAAAGCATCGCGCATGTATTCCGACGTTCTAAAAGCATTGTTACGTCACATTTATTGCAATGTTTACGCCATGGCTTCGTAGTTTCAACTGCAGAGATATGCCTAAATCAGTCGGAAAAAGCTTGTTTTGGACGTTCAAATGTGAAATTTTGTTGCAGGATAAACAAAATACACGAAAACTGTCTCCAAATATAAGCGATATTTGGGATTAGGGTCGAAAACGCAAGCCTCGCCCTCTATCACGTTTTCTTACCCTTGCCCAAATATCGCAAATATTTCAAGACAATAACCATGCATTTTTTATATCCCTATCCATCGCAAAATTTAGCGCCGTAAAATGAACAACATTTGCTTCAGGGAATCTGTATCATTTTTGTCTAAAAGACTCAAATATATGTCAATATGACGTTAAGGTTTCTGAAGGTGGCTTATAAAACTTCAAACTGCTTTTGAAATTTGAGCGGGAAATTTGATTTTCGCTTATGACGTTATCTGTGAAGGCCTTCAACACACACTTAATTTCATAAAAAGTCATCATATAATACCTTGTTTTCCCATTCATTGGTTTGGCATTTCCAAACACTGTATATATTTCCACACAAAAAGTAACTAGTTTATATATACAAAATACACACACAAGTAACGAGAAGATATCTGTGTTTGAAAATAAAATCTATGTAATTATCATCATCTATAAACTCATTTATAAACTGCAACACACATATAAATTCTAATTATCAACACACATGTTTCGGAGGTTATTCGCTTGAGATGACATTTGTTTAATGGACTGATGGATAATACTGTTCGTTATTTTCAACACACATTCTACCCAGTGATGTGACCTTTCACGGGGATCAGTTGAAATTCAAGGAATGTATTAAAAAAACATTGTCTTTGTTGTTAACATACTTTATATCATTAGACTATTAATTATAAAACTACAATCGATAAAATAAAAACAAAACTTTTATTATGTAACAATATTTAATGCGATTTTCTTGTTTTTAGTAATTAATGTTACATGTACAACACTATCTTAAACATAATACACATAAGGACTTTTCAATAAATTCATTACACATAATAACATTATATATTTATTACATTGTATATACTGTAGAAACCACTATTATGTCTAAAAATAAAGTTTTCATCATCTATAATAAAAGTATATAACTTTTCATATCATGCGTGAACAAGTATGGATATAAAGATATAAAAAGTCAGGTAGGTTTCAGCATCATGAGAGTCTCCTTTATCTGTTTACTATCAGTCACTGTGGGATACCATGGCCAGAACCAGGACCCCGGGGACCATTGACCGTTAAGGAAGGCGGAGTGACAGTGGTTAAACCACCAGCCTCCTCTACGGATACTGTCAGCAGCACAGTTAACACTACTATACCTGTCGTTATCTCTGTCCGGGGTGGAGAAGGACATCCCAGACAGAACATAGTAAGAAACACCAGTGTGTAACATAGAGTCACCTGTAAAATTATCAAAGAAAAATATAACATGAACACCTATTTCAGATTAGATCATTATTATTTACTAAACATTTAAAGCTTAAAGCATCTATAGTATTCAACAATAAAAACTTTTTTTTGAATTACTTTAAATTGCATTGCTTTCAATTACAATAGATGAACACTGTTTTCATTTAATATTTAACGTTGTTTTTCTGTTGTCATTTGATTTCTTTTTTGACTGTATACGAACATGTTGATGAGTCTCAACAGAAATAAAAGAATGATTGATTGATTGATTGAATGTAGTTTAGCGTCCCTCTCGAGCATTTTTCACTCATATGGTGACGCCATCACTTGCCGGTTGAGAACTAGAAATTTTGTTTTATAATACATGTTATACACGGCAATTGAGCAGTTCGCTATGTTTTTCGTGCCAGCATCTACTACGACACTGGACCTTGATTTATACGATCTCATCCGAAGGACCAGTCTTCACGCCCTACAGTGGGATTGGAACCCGCGACGTAAAGATTCCTTACTTCACGGCTCTAACCACCGCGCCACGCGGGTGACGTCAATAAATTTAATTATTATTTCATTCATGTGAAGCCTTTTTTTAAATATTGAAATGGGTAAGCCTATATACGTACATATAAAGGAGCGATATTCAAAATAAAAATTTCATGAACCAATAAATTGATATAACATTCGAAAATAAAGGTTTGATTTTTTTGTCTTTTTTTTGGGGGGGGGGGTGCCGTTCTTTAAGTTAACAGTACAGGAAACAATAGCTTTTCGTCCATTTTATCAGCACATTAATCATTAGAATTCTTCAAATCTGTGCGACTACACGTAGATGCAATTTGTGAAATCAATTTCTTTATTGTTGTATTGCTTTTGTTAAGTCTACTATTGCATATCTTCAACACAAAAGCGGGATAATTACAAAAAGTCATCGTTATCGACTGTAATTAATTACATTTCCAATGCAAGTTATTTCTTAATTCAATAATCGTTTAACACCTTAATTGATTTTCTGTATTAGTTATGTATCTAACAACATTACGTACAAGTACGCATGTAGTGTTTATGACGTGAAAATGTTCAATCTTTTAGCAATTTATTACTGATTGGCTCATACAGTAGGGACTCTTGATTTTCAATATACAAGGAAAATCTTACTTTCAAAATATTGATATCCACACTTTACCCCCCCCCCCTCCATTAATTACGTAACTATAGGGTTGATTATCACAGAAACAATTGGTAATTGTCTATCTGTCACAAAAAATTTAACTCTCTCTCTCTCTCTCTCTCTCTCTCTCTCTCTCTCTTTCACCTTATCGGTCGTCATTCGCACATTCTTTTTTCCGTTTACCTACCCAGGGTCCCAGTAGCTGGTCCCCCAAGAAAAAGTCTGTATTTGTTGGTTTCGTCAGCAACAGAGAACTGGTTGTATAATTCATAGAGCTTTGTCCCATTAGTCAGTGTGATAGATACGTAGAGGGAGGAGTTCCTTCCCTTAGTAAGTTGATGTATAACGTCATTTCCTTAAATATTTTATCGTCGTGTAATATATGAAAAATTAATAAAGCAAAAAATATTTATTTCAAGTTGTCATATAATTCAACATATGATTATGAAGGTATGCAGAAATTTCTAATTGTGTAGTGCATGCAGCAATGAACATACATGTTTTGAAATCAAAGTAGGGAAATCGTTATATATTGTATTTTACATAAATTGTTATAAACTTCATTTTAACTGCTAAAAAATTAAATGCTAATTTAAACTGTTAATAATCAGAAGAATTATCATCCCCTAAAACAACATAAAATATTACACAGTTATAGAATTGGTACAATGTAAATAGCAAATTAATGGTTCCCCGAGGGAGGGGAATATTTCTGCATCTGGAACCTTAACCCTTGGGGAGCCATAAATTTGCTATGTCCTCTGTAGTCATTCCATAACTGTTTATACGTTACCTATCCAGTAGGATCCGTTAGGATTCCCGAATCCCGTCTTGTAGTCCGTCCAGGTTCTGTCGAATGACACTGAACCACTCACACGTTTCTGGATAGCCTAAGGATTTATGAATTATTTCGGGTTTATTCAAGAAAGTAGTGAAGTTGTTTTTTTTTAATACATTTTACTGTGAACAATGTTTCAAATACGTTATTCATTATAAATTCATGTAATTTTAGCATATTCTTTCATTTAAATTACAAGTAAATTTTAAACTGAGCTAAAATAAAAAAAAAACAAAATGGTTACTCCCTCCTGACTTGGTCTGAATTTAAAGAAAAAATAAATTCGATTGCAATGTTTATTTTCAAAATGATATTTCCATAGTACATGAAGAAATAATTGCTTATTTGGGGCAAAATAAGTTTTGAGTAGGGACCGTATGGCCAGTCTGCCCACAGAGGACAACGAAACAATTCTTTAAACATTATCCGATTGCTTTGTTTTATAAATTATTCTTAATATGAAAATCCCGCCAAAATATGGCTGAAATATCGCCGACTTGGCGTTAAACAATATGAAATCAATCAATAATATGAAAATCTACTTAAAGTATTCACTTCTTAACAATTATTTAAGTTTTGCCTCTACATCCATGATATAGTACACATGTTTTTCTACTTTGTGATGAAAAGTATTTACTGTCACAATGTTATTAGCTTTTTGTAAGTAGGGATAAAAAAAAATTATTAAATGATCACTTTTGTCAGTTTGTTTTCAGTATAAATATTTAATATCAGCTTTAAAAAATCATTTATAAAAGATATATTATAGTACCTGAAATTGATTGGAGAGAGAGGAAGGGAGAGACAGAGGGGAGAAAAAAAGTTTTACAGTTTAAAAGTTTATAAAAGATAGTATAGTACATGGAATTCATGGGATAGAGAGACAGAGAGAGAAGAGAGGAAGAAAAGTGAAAGAGAGAGAGAGAGAGAGAGAGAGAGAGAGAGAGAAAATAGAAAAAATAGATCTTACTGTCCACCCTCCTCCATCAGTCACCATGTCACAATACACGCTGACTCTGGTCTCGTTACCAAAAGGGTTTATGTTATATACTCCAGACTGTGTGTGTCCAAGTAGATAGTGATCTCTACAATCCCTTGTTAGTTTTGAACCTGAATGAGAATATCAATACTAATATCCAGAACATCATTATTATAAACACAGAGAGAGTAAGAGAGGATGAAAGACAGTGAGAGAGAAGGATCAATTACCTTTTTCTATGGTTTTCCCCTCCGTCCTTGTAAGATACTGTTGGATAGCCGTTATATTTTCACTGAGAATTTTGAACTTTTGATCAAATTCCTGTAACTTTTTCTGACAATTTTCTACATTTTCCCTGCCCTCCCGCTTTTGGGAGTTAATCTCTCTTTTCAATGAATCTACCGAGTTCTGTAAAGTTCTGTCATGTCTAAGGGAACCAATCTGCCTTCTCAAAACTTCCACGGTCTGCTGTAAAGAGTTGTTTTGATTTAAAGTATCGATTTGCATTTTTAATTTTTCGATCTTCTGCGATAAAGAGTCGTCTTGCCTCAGGGTTGCAACCTCTCGTTTTAGCGTTGCTATCGTTTGCAGCAGAGTGGTGACCGTTGTCTCAGTGACCTCCAAGCTTCTTTTAACAGAGCTGACGTCATTCACTGCTGCTCTGATGTCATTGACTACGGATACCCGGATGAGGGTCTCTTGGTTTACGAGCTGACGGAGGACGTCGATTTCCTTTACATCACGTAGAGTAGAGTTCGGATTATAAGTACCAGTTAACAAGGAATCTGACTTGGCTTCGGAAATTATTATCAGAATCGTAAAGAGAATGGCAAACTTCATGGTTTCAACGTACAGATTAAATGCTAGTGCTAGCGATAGATATCACTTTGTCCCTAGAAGACAACACACGGCCGTATATATAGAGACGGTTGGGGATTTCCCTAAATTAACCATGAGACATCACAATCAATTTTAAAGTAGATATTACTAACCTATAAGTAATGATGCATATTTGAAGTCGTTTTTGATGTTTTCTTCTTAAACCGGAGATAGTACTTAACAAAGCAGGTCAAGAGCAATTGAAACTACTTTGTATTTTTTAGTGTTTATTTGAAATGAGGCTTAAAGGTGTTCAGTGCACTTCATCTTTTTTATATATGATTGTGTATTTTTTTCATAAAAGGCTTGTATGACCTAAAATTATTGTATAGGGTTTTTTTACTCCTTTTTATTAGATTTTATTAGTTATTTTCTAAAGAGAGCATTGTTCTAGAAACATGTAGGACGGTGCATGCATTGCATTTTTTTTCGATTGAAATGTTTTCTTTGAAACAATATTTAAAAAGAATTCGCCAGCAGATATCGCATGAGAGTTTATTAAATATAATGGTTACATTTGGCTTAATTAAATGTATTTCAACATATTTTGTTTAATTTGACATCTTTGAACATTCAAAAAAAGGTACTTGATAAAAAATTGAAGAACAAAAAAAGTTTTCAATTACATTTTAGAGGAACATGGATGTATTCTATAAATGATCATCCAACTTTTACTTTCTTATGAAGACGAAAATATTCAAAGTAATTAATTTTAATCACATATATATATATTTTGACCTCGAAGTTGGTTTTGAATTACCATAATTTCATAAAAATCATAAATACTTAAAAATAACAGAAAATGGATCTTGTATGAACTTAACCTATTTTATTTTCGAAGAAAAATACATTTAACCATTGATTTCATATTTTTGGCTGCAAATTTGTCGGCATGGCCAGGTGTGTTATAGGACCGAAGACAGCCAAAAATATGAATTCAATGCTTATATTTACATTCTCTTATTTCCCTGCTTCACAATTCTAATTTCGGTTATCTTTATTGTGAATTCTTTATTGAGCGCCTTTCAAAACTGACGTGGTTAACAGACGTAAGAGCCGTTTGTGACGTCAGATGACGTAACAAAGTTAGATAACGCAACAAACATAGCGAGGTTAAAAGTGACAAATTAATTTCAAACTCACATCTGTAGTAATTTTACGTTAATTTAACAGGATGATAGTTTTTCATTAAATTGAGCCAACACATTGTACACTTTGGTGTTCCTAGATTATAGAAAATGCATGTAGTTCCTACTGTGTCTTCTAACGCGCGGTGACAAGGTTTCTAGTGTGTTATAGTAATTTGAATGTCTCGGATTTCTAATGAATTTTATTAGGAAAAATACACGGAATGTTAATACATACCGTTTAAGGAGACTTCTTTTAAAATTTTTGAATGTTTTTTTTAAACTAGAGGTAATGTGAGCTCAGTCAATGATACCACGTCTCCCATATGATTTTAAAGGCAAAATGCACTCTTTGCCCATACACAACTCGGACAAGCAAAATAATTTACTCTTTAAAAACTAAGACCAAAATATGAATATAATGAAAGTGTCTTTCTTCAACGTGACTAGTTTGTATGTAGTGAACACAGATTAATAAACAAAATGTGTGATTTTCAATTAAATAAAATATTATTTACAGATATTCTATGGTGCACAATATATTAATTAATGATTCTTCGCTATTTATCAATATATCATTCAGTATATGAACACTGAGTTATTTGATAAAAGATGTGGTTTTATAAATCGTTAAAGGGCAACACGGAATAAGCTTTTACATTTCATATAAAACTATAAGATCAGAAAAGTGCTGCACATCCTTGTGTTTACTACATGCCGCTGAATATACATTCGGTCATACAGTATAATTTCAACAAGGAAATTAAAAGACAGGTCGAGTCCTTTTGTTTTTTTTGAATATTGCTATACTATCTTGGAAATTTAAATAAAATTTATATGTACCAATTTCCAATAAAATATAGAATACCATCACTGCAGTGTAAATATAAATATAATCGATTTGTATTATTAAATCTTATTTAATTATCCGATAAATTTTAAAAATATTCAAACGGCAATCATTTTTAAATACAAAATTTAGTCGATATTTCCATTGCGCACCAGTTAGAAACGTCTAGTACAAAGTAATATTCCCATATGCTTTTAAAGGCAAAATTCCACGATACATGTAAATATATATCGGACAAGCATGTACAAAATATGAATATAATGGAACATATGTTATGGGAATCAAATAAGTGTGTGATCAATGAAAACAGGAGGTACATAATATTAATACACAGATTCTGTAAACGTTTTACAATACATTTTTATTAAGTAATAAAAGATTAATTACAAACTTAAAGACAAAAATCATAAATAATACATATGTATAGACAGATAGACAGACTGACGGACATCCAAATTACTACATGTATATACCCTCCAGCTTTTCAAGCTGGGTATAATAAAAAGAAGGTGAGTCCTTTTGTTTTATTAATATTGCTCGCCATCTTGGATATTGGAAATAAAATATAGATTACCAATTTCCAATAAAATATAGATTACCAACTGCATGTAACCAAAATGTTTGATCTTATTTTAAATCTTATTTAATTAAATAAATTTTTATTCATCACACTATTCAACTTCCTAGGCATTCCATTGATTGTCAAAAGTAAAATTAGCCTTTTAGCACCAGTTCAGAAATCTAGTCCAAAGTAATATTCCCAAGCCTTAAAATTCCAGGATACCATGTAAATATATATGCACAGTTTTTATGTACAATATTTAGACTCTTTTAATCATATTAACATAAAAAATCGTTAAAATACGGCTACTTTAGACTGTAATTGGATCAGAAACAGAAAAAAGAAAGCTCGTTTACTAGATAAGCATTGGGTACACGACACACAGACGATTGGTGGATCGGTTTGTGATGGGCATAATATTCACACAAGGATAAGATATTTCACCCAACACTTCCTATTGTTAAAAAATTAACTTTTTCTAACAAAGGTAATATTCCTGTTCCAAAAAAAAAAAACTGAATGATAAGAAATATACACCTGTGAACTGTACGCAACCTAGCAGGATCGACTAGACCTTCTGTTGTGAAAATTAGACTACCTAAATGTAGCAGGACCACCTAGACCATCCGTTTCGTTCATGGACATATCAGAGGCATATGTGCATAATAACCGGACGATGTACTATAAAATGTAAAAATAAAAGCTGAATTTGACTACTTTATTTAATTTTTTTATCGATTTGTAAAACTTTTGAAAATCCCTTGTATACCTTATTTAAAGGTTACCTGGTTTCTCCCTGTGGCCGAGTATGACAGAATGCTGAACGAGTATGACAGAATGCTGAACATTTAGTTGAAGATGTGTCAAATTAGAAATTACGAAATTGATGACAATTGACCCACTACTTCCAGGTGTTATGATTCGAGTTGAAAAGCCAGTGGCCTAATAAAATGTTTTATATCAGAAGCCTAAATATTTATTCATAAGAATATAATTTCTATGCATAATTTCCAGATAAAAGGGGGTAATGTCCAATTTTTATAAGACACTATTGTCGACGTTCAGTAGTATTATACAAACAAGCTTGTAATTAAAGTCAATGAAAAAAAAAACAATGAAAACAGGACAATTATAAAACCTCTTATATCACAAGACTCTACTTTTCTCGATAGCAGTAGTGATTCATTAAGTTCATCACTTAAAACACCAACCACGGTTTGATACTGATAATTGGGCTTTATATTATTAACGTCTTTTATATTATTAACTTCACGACTGTATTATACCGGGGACACATCATAAACAGCCCACGACACAGACCTTATCATTTTGAGGGTCTTCTTTATCACATAATCATTTCGAATTCTGGTGTAAAAAATAAAAATAACAAACATAATAAAAACACGCAGATTCCAACACTTCTTCTCTCTGTCATCAGTAACCTAAGGATATGAGAGAAACCAAAAATATTATGTACAATATAAAGTGAGGTTATATCAAAATATAAATGCACAGTGTCCAGTAGCAGCTGCATAGCCATAGGGATAAATGAGTACTATAAAACAAAAGATTATTGAGATAGGTAAAGACACAGAATTTTCACCATTTCCCATCTTAAAGATATACATTACTTAGTTATACAGCAATATACTTTCTTCACCTGCATACGGAGTATATGTATATCAGCTGATTCGATACGAGCATGCTCTATGTATGAAAAATTTCTAAAACGAGGTTAATTAATGACAAGCAAGTTGATAAAACAAGAATATCAGCAGTTTCATTTAATGTCGTCATTTCGTAAGTTCTATGGTCTAAACTATGCTTTTGTCAGCAAATACAATATGTCATTGAGTCTAATGCTGACTGACGTTTTTCATACCAATTGTTAGTCTATTATTTATACAATGAATTGACGAAGAATTTTTTCCGTTATTTCACGATCATGACAATGAGCACACCGCGGGTGTGACCGGTCGGTAGGGGATGCTCATTCTTCTATGGCACATGATCCCACCTTTCATGTTTCATGGGTCTGTGTTTGCTCTTCTCTTGTTTTGTATTGTTTTATGGAATTTGAGATTAAATACTGATCGTTTTTTCCATATCCTTCTTCCTTGGGTTAAAAGTGCATAGAGATTAATTAAAAGAACCTTATATACAGCGCTTCATTAGAAACTGAAAACTTGAAGTGCAATGTCCGACCTTTCTATTATTTTTTGAATGGTGTACACGATTTTTTTACTCCTTTGAAACTAGTTAACTTGTTTTATCAAACATTTTTAGGACCCAAAATTCCTAACCTTAAATATCAATTGTTTGTAAAATATCCTGATATTATCTTAAAGCATTTAAGAGTAGAAATTTTCAAAAAAAATTATTACCTAAGCAGAAATTAATTATTGGAGATTGCATTGAAGTCTATGGAAGGAAGCAAGTTTTTTAAGATAAAAAAATAAATACTTAAAATATCAAAAAATGCTGTGGTGGAAAGATGTATTTGATCATTGGGAATAAAAACACAGTTAAAAATAATTTTTTTACCAGACAGATTTTTTTTTATAATTAATTTTGATTGAGT